TCTCTCTCTCTCTCTCTCTCTCTCTCTCTCTCTCTCTCTCTCCTTGAGAATCTTGACTCTGAATACATCCGCTACTAATCAGCTCTATCTCCTACTACTAGCTATGCGGCTATGGCCGCCTTCCCTCTCAGAATGGCACTGCCCAGCAGGGCTCTCCCTCATGCTACTCGCAGATAGCACACAAGCACTTCAGCAGCACTTCCACACTTCTCACGAATGAGCAATCCCCCTGAAATGTGGCTGGCCAGTCCTTATATTGACTTGGACTGAGCCTCAACTCGTCCCAGCCTTTGCTTCCTTTGGCTTGACTTGGACCCGGTACCACATGCCCACGGCCTGCTTGCTTCAGAATGTCAAGGCCTGCTGGTACTTTTCCCGAATTTTCATTGGTGTGTTGCTGCTTGGGTCTGTGAGTCATGACTTTTCACCTGTGGAACATGACTTTTGACTGTGGGATCTGACTCTTGCCTCTGGGACACGACTTTTGCCTGAAGAAGTGTCCTTTGCCTGTGGGATATGACTTTGCAATATGAGACATGACCTTTGCTTATAGAACGCAACCTTTGCCTCTGGGATGTGGCTGTTCACCGGGTGCCTGTTGGACTTGACTCCTATGGTACCCGACTGTGACCTTTCTGAACTGGCCGACTTGGCCTCCCTTGGCCTGAGACGTTGACCCTGAAATTCGAATTTGGGGTCTGCATCGTGGAATGCCTTTCAATATAAGGAAGTACTCAATATGCGAGAACATTGTAACGCGGAGGACAGGATTGGAGTTTGGGGCTGAAGCTGGGGAGTGACGTTGGGGGTGAACTGTAATGCGTCCGTTCCAGAATTCTCAATAAATACATAAGAAAGTCTTGATCGCTGCTTCAGAGAGGTCTACGTCCCTTCCAGACTGAGGTTGGAATCTAGACTTGGTAGTAGGTTAAGTACTTGTTTTCGGACCGTATATATAATATATTATATATAATATTGGTAGTAGGTTAAGTACTTGTTTTCGGACCGTATATATAATATATATATATATGGCCCACTTGCTCACAATGTTCTCAAATCTCATCTTATTGTACTTTTTACCGCAAGTGCTTTTTGTTTGGCACATTTCTTTCTAGCCCTCATATGCAATCTTGCCTTTGGTTGTGCCCCTGCTCGCCAGCAGAGGAAAACTTTCTTTGGGGGTCCTTTCCCACTGGCAAGCCAGCAGAGTGTGCATTGTTAGACCCAACTTTGTTGAGAGGGTCCTTTACATTCTGGGTGGAGCCATTAGTCCAGTTCCGGTCCCACTGGCGAGCCAATAAAGTGTAAATCGTTAGACCCAACTTTCCAAACCAGCTTGCTGAAGCAAATTCAACTAAATGTGGGAGAAAGATATGGTATGCAGCCTTGCAATACAAATAACTGTTGGCTGAAGATAATCCCCGAAATTCATAGCCGAATTTGAGATGAAAAAAAGTCCGGATCAGTCCCCGATGTCCCTCTGCACATTCGCATGGTATCTACTGTCCAAAGACCGATCCTTTACGATGCTCCTAGTTGCAAGCACTCAACTTCTTCAGTTTTTTTTTGTCGCAATCCTTTGACGGGGACATATTGGAAATCCTGCAGAATGCTCAACAGTTTTCATAGGCTCACCACATCAATGAAGATCGAAATGAATCGATAGTATCCATCTGTCTGATAGAATTATGTCTACCATAGTCTAAAAGTTTGGACGATATCATCATGATTGTTTATCCTTCAAGCTGCATCGCTATTCTCCTGATTTATTTATTTAGTATGATAGCTGGTAGAATGTGGACGATTACATATTTGAACTGAACTTCATCGCCATGCATACTTCATGTTTTGAGTTTTATCCTAACGCTCCTGATTTATTTGTATGAAATGCTACCTTGCAGGATGTGAGGATGAGGGATGTCCGGATTGCATGCTGGTTGGAGACAATGGAGGCCTTGAGAAGTGAAGAGATTCTCACACCTGTTCTGGTGTGGAATACAATGAAACGGCGAGAGCTCTTGAAGGTAGGCTGTCGGAAAAGAAATAGTATCTGCCCACTCGTTCAAGCCTTCTGACATTCTGCGCTCTTGTTTGAGCCTTCGTGAATCCTGGCCTTGTGTTCAAAGCCCTCTGTGGTTCTGCTTCACCCTGGCAGTGTGGCCCAAGTTTCTCTCTCTCCCTTTCCACAGCCTCTTTGCACCAGGGTGTGTGTGCCTGGTGTGTGCATGCCTGTGTGTGTGTTTGCGGGGGTGTCTGTGTGCTTGTGTGTTCTGTCAACTCGTTATCATTACTCCAGCAAATTCACTTCCTATGTTCCCTTACCCTTTTCTAGACAGATGATACAGTTGCAGTGACTGCCAAACCAATTAGGAATAGAGAAAGAAATGGCCACAAGCATTGGCCTCTTGTAAAAGTCAACTTTTTTTTTTTTTTAACTACTCTAAT